CGTCCAAGTCCTCCCTAGACTCCCAGACTGGTCCATGTTCCTCCTCACTGTCTGACTCTGCTGCCTTCCCCACAGGCTGCTGGTGGACCACAACACATAGGTACCCATGATACAAAAGCAGGTGGACAAACAGTTGGGAGAACCACCACTGCCACCACTATTGAATTGTTTGGTTACCTCAGATCGCAGCCTATTGAGAGAAGTAACACAAAATTATCTCTCCTGTCCCCTTAGCAAGAAACTGACATCCATGTGAACTGACATGGAAGAAAATGCTATATGTTATACATTGCATAGAGCCTTGTCTTAATAAGTTCTCAGGCTGCCTCAGGCATGGCAATTGCTGTTCTGCTTCAACTGTGACAGCTGCAAGAGCAGCCCAGCTGGATCTCACAATTCTCTTTTAATCTAGCATTCACTTGCTAAACGTGGCCAGCCAGGTATCTCTCGGTCCTTTAAAGCAGCAGCGGCCAACCAGTGGGCCACGGCCCACTGGTGGTCCATGAAAAAATGTTGGTGTCACCCCCAGAGCACCCCCACAAAGCAATTAATCCAGGCTGCGCAGGAACACAAGGCTGTGCCACCCACATGGACTGCATTCCCTGCCCACTCACGCCTTATCTGGCAAACTTGCCTGCTAAGTTGCTGTTTTTTCTTTTTCCAACCATCAGCTGTTCTGCTGTGCCCGGAGATTTAGATTAGCTAGAAAGCAGGAAATAGTTGGATTTCTTGCTTTCTAGCTAATCTTTAGATCTTCACCTCTGCTTTTAAGCAGAGCCAAAACTTTCAGTGCAGATTCAGCTAGCCGATGACAGAAACACAGATCTCTAAGTGAATCTGTGATTCTGTGAGCAACTTAATCTGCCTGACTGCTTTGCCTGATTTTGGGTAAAACTTGCTCTTTTTTATAAAAAAATTCAATATTTATATAAATATTTATAATATGTACATACAAGCCATGCCTAGCCAGTCACATGACCACCAAATTACACCCACAAATTAGGCCACACCCACAGAACTGGTTGTTAAGAAATTTGAATCCCACCCCTGCCTCTGTGTGTTTGTGTGTGTGTGTGTGTGCGCGCGTGTGTGTGAGTGAGAGAGAGAGAGAGAGAGAGAGGGACGGAGGGAGGGAGAGAGAGAGAAGTTAGATCAGATCTATCTCTATCTCTCTCTCTCCCACCAACATCAGCAAGCTACCGTCAGTCAAAATTCATATTAGTGGTCCCCAGGATTTAAAATTATGAGTTTGGTGGTCCCTGAGGTCCAAAAGATTGGCAACCCCTGCTTTAAAGCATACAAAATACAAGTAGTTCTCAACTTACAACAGTTTCATTTAGTGACCAAATTTACAACGGCACTGAAAAAAAGCGACTTATGACCAGTTTTCATACTTATGGCCATTGTAGCATCTCCATGGTCATGTGATCAAAATTCAGACTCTGGGCAATAGACTCACATTTATGACGGTTGCAAGGTCCCGGGGGTCATGTGATCTGCTTTTGCGGCCTTCCGACAAGCAAAGTCAATGGGGAATCCAGATTCTTTTAACAAAAGTTTGACTGATTTAACAACTGCAGTGATTCACTTAACAACACTGGCAAGAAAGGTCATAAAAATTGGGGCAAACTCACTTAACAAATGTTTCACTTAGCAACAGAAATTTTGGGCTTAATTGTGGCCGTAAGTCAAGGACTTCCTGTATGTTTGAAAGTTTCTGCTTATTGAAGTATTATTATGGGTCATCACACAGTCAGCCAGATGTTTAGACTGGACCGGGAAGTTTTATCCACCTATACAAAGTCCTTCCCCAAGATCTATTATTATTGTTATTATTATTATTGTTGTTGTTATTATTATTATTATTATTATTATTATTATTGATGGTTCTCTCTTGTCAGTAATTGAGACCAGAATTTTTAAAAGAAAGCAATACAGTCATAAAGCATTACATCATGTGACCATGCCATGTAGAATGGCAGTTCTGGCAATCCCATTTGCCATTGTTAAGAACCTAATGTGATTGCAACTTCCGACTTCCTGCCGGCTTCCCCATTGACTTTGGTAGTGTGAAATTAGCAGGGAACATTGGAAATCGTCATCACGTGACTGCAGTTCACTGCAACTTACTGCAAGCCAGGAACCAAGCGCACAGATTGCAGTTCTGTGGGGATGTAGCAGTGGCCAGAGGACCAGTCATAAGTACCACTTGTTCAGAACAGCTGTAACTTTGAACAGTCACTGAACAAACGGTAGTAACCTGAGTACTATCTGTATTATTATGGTTGGTCACACAGTCAGCCAGATGTTCAAACTGGATTTGGGATTTTTTTTCAACTTACCAACTTCTTCCCAAGCACCTAGGATAGGCAAATGTTGATGTTTCATGGTATTAAAAGGTTCCATCGCAGGATACGCCTGTCTTTAGTTTTGAAGACAGCAAGTTTAGTGCTCCCTTTTCCTCTTTTCCCCAAGTAATTTTGTTAGGTGAGTTGGGCTGTAAGTGATTGGCCCAAAGTCACCCTTCAACAGCGGAGAAGAAACAATATCTGATTTATAGCTACATGACCACCTATCCATGGGACAGTACTGGTCTCGTGACTTTTTTTTAAATAGTAGAAGATATTGGCCACAACTCTGAGACCTTTGCCTAGCTTTGTATACTAGTTGTGGAAATTTTTGGACCAGGAGGCCCTGTAAATCATAATTCATGCCTTCATCACTTTACTGAAAGACCACTGTGACATTCTATACCGGGTTGGCTTTGAAGTTAAAAAAAGTACTCCAAAATGTGGGGGCCTACTTGCCAACCATCGGTAGAAGATTACCCAAAGTAGTGATTACTGGCCTTGCTGGCAATTTGCTTCCAGGTTCAATTCAAAGTGCTGTTTATCACCCATAAAGCCCTCGATTTGGGCTTGGTTTCCAGATATTGGTGGGATCATTGCTCCCCGTCCAAATTGTTCCATCTCTTCAACCAGGGGATTCTAAGAATTCCTACCCTAGAAGTGGTGAAGGAGTTGGTAGCTTGCTGATACTTCTTTAGGTCTGTCTCCACCCTTTGCAACATATTGTCCTTGGAAGTGTATGATCCTCTTAACCGCCTGACCTTTACAAGTCAGGGTCTTATAGTATTTCAGAGGGTGTACCAATATTAACGATGATGGGACTGTATTAAGTTTGGTTTTTAATTTGGGGTACTATTCATATTTGTTTTCATGGGCATTTCTATATTGTTTTCTATAATATTGTAAGCTTCCTTGAAGCCTGTGAAACAGGTGGTGCACATATTTTTATATAAATACATGAAGGGGGGGGAACCATCTGTGGCCCCTCATTGGGTTGCCCCAACCGGATCTATGGCTGTGTTTTCCACATTGTACCTACAGAGGAGGGAATTGAAACCCAAGAAAGCTCTTCCTGTCTAGTCCAGGTGACAAACACTGGATCCTCACCTCTATCCACTATGTGTGGACAAGAGCAGTGGGCAACCTATGTTATCCTTATGCCAAGGTCATGAGGCCACTGGAGTCCATCCTCCCAGGCCACTCAAACCCAGTGATGCAATTTATTACTCCAATTCAGAAACATTCAGAAAATGTTTTGGGTCACTTTCACCATTTGAAAAGGATGCTGTGTCTGTCTCCCTGCCTGCCTGCCTGCCTGGATACTTATCTCATCTGGGGATGGGTGTCATGGTATCGCAGAACATAAAGAGCTTGACAGAGGCTAAGGACACTTATTGTCAGTAGCAGCTTCAAAAAGGGGAAAGTAAAAGAAAGAAATACGAGGCTACGCCAAATCTGAATTTTCCTGCTAGACTTTGGAAACATGAATCTAAAGAGCTTCGTTCGCAAGCAAAACTGGAGACAAAGGGGGTGTGGGGGGTGTCCACATGCTTTTTTTAAAAAAGCTAAGACTTTATTTCATATAATGAAATCTAAGTATTTCTTGACAGTGTCATTACCTTCAAATTCAAAAAGGGTTTTTGCCTGGACTTTGTCCACTTTTGATACTGACTCCATAGATATTTATTTAATCCTGCCTCTTGCTCCCTTCTTTGAGTCTGCCCTCAAACACCTTCTACCTCTTTAGCTCAGGAGCAGATCTATCTTCTGCTCTGGATAGAAAGTCTCTTTGACTTGACTGGAGTCTGAGGGTTATACGTCTTGAAAAAGAACCGGCCAGGATTTCCACATGAATCAGCTCTGTTGAAAATCAAATCAAAACCGTCTGTTCTATTAACAGCTCTCCAAAGCTTGAGGCCAGGGATTCTCCCTCCTATTAAACAATATTAAACAATATTGATGAGAAAGACCAGTTTGAAGGACCTGAAATCTTTTTCATGCAAACCCATTTGTTTAACATAACAAAATGGTGGGCCATGATACGGTGGTAGTATTCTATCAGTTTGGCCCAGTTCAGCCAAACTGGTAGTAAAAAATGCTACCGGGTACGGCTAAACCAGTATTTCTGACTGTCAGCTGGGTGACCATCAGCTGTGCCATGGCATTTAGATTATCTAGAAAGCAGGAAATCATCAGCTGATTCCCCCCCCCCCCGCTTCAAAATACATCTTTTCCCAGTGCTTCCCTCAGGCCCGCTAGGCCAAAAATGGGGCGCCCCTGCCATGATACCCTGTTCCTAAATGACGATTGCTTGCAAGGCTGCCTAGTTTTGGCAATCAGAAGATATAGATCCATGCTTCGAAAGCCATTTCTGTGGGGAGTCAGTTGCTTCTCTGCCATCCTTAAACAATGTCTTGTGCCCTGCTTCAGAAGACAACAAGTAAGCATAAAGGGACAACGTTGTACTAATTAAACAAGATCTCTTTAGAACTTGTGTTTCTAGAGGCATCCGAGCAACTAGTAGTCAGTCTGACGGTGACGCACTTGAAGATGAAAGTTAAAAAGAGTAAATGTTTGCCTCCCTCGTTAGCTCAGGGACACATGGTTGTAACAAAAAACAAAGTTAACTTTTTGATGTGCCTTTTTCCACAGCTGGATTATGATCGAGCACAGATAGTAGTAAGTCCACCCCTTTCTGGATCAGACACATATCCACGAGGCCCAACAAAGCTACCTCAGAGTCAGAGCAAAGCCACCACGTATTCAGGTAGTGGCTATCAATACTCCGCTATCTATCACAAATTCTCTCACTTTAACCACCAGCCTTCTCTGCAGCCGAGCTCACATTATACTTCCACAGCTTCTTACCCGAGCTCCCCCAGCATCACTTCAAGTTCTTATCCTCCGCCGAGCTGGGGTTCCTCCTCAGATCAGCAACCTTCAAGGGTGTCGCACGAGCAGTTCCGAGCAGCTTTGCAACTGGTGGTGAGCCCAGGGGATCCTCGAGAATATCTGGACAACTTTATCAAGATCGGGGAAGGCTCCACTGGTATTGTTTGCATCGCCACAGAGAAGCACACGGGAAGGCAAGTGGCCGTGAAAAAGATGGATCTCAGGAAACAGCAAAGAAGGGAACTGCTTTTCAATGAGGTAAGTCCTTCTGGAACCCTAAGAAGGTTCTTTCGTGCCCTTAATTTCTTTCCAGGCGGTACAGGTAGCCCTTGACTTAACCACAGCTAATTAGTGATTGTTCAAAGGTACAACGGTGCTGAAAAGACCGTTTTTCACAGTTACAACCTTTGCAGCATCCTCATGATCATCTGATCAAAATTCAGTTGCTTGGCAACTGGTTCATATTTGTGACCGTTGAGATGTCCCAAGGTCCTCTAGATCACCTTTTGCAACCTTCTGGTGTCAGTGGGGAAGCCAGATTCCCTTAACAATCGGGTTACGAACTTATGAACTGCAATGATTCACTTAACACCCGTGGCGAGAAAGGGGCGAAACTCACTTAACAAATGTCTCCCTTAACAGAAACTTTGGCCTCAGTTGTGGTCATAAGTCAAGGACTACCCTGTATATCTCAATCTGAAAGCTCTCAGTGCAGAGGTGTTAATGCAATATACCGGTTAGACTGTTAACTGTAAACCAGGAAAACCTGGTTTTCACTCGACTTCAGAATTCCCCAGTCAGTCATTATCTCTCAAGCTCACTTTCCTTGCAAAGTTTTAAAGAAGAGGCCAGCCCTTATATAGTCAGAGTAAGGCTTACCCTACCAATGACATACAGGATCTTGTAGCATCACCCTACCATCACTGATGCCATATAAAAGCTGCACTCCTTACTGTTAGCACAATTGAGTGTATGACTCAAAAAGATGTTGTAAGCTGTTACTAGAGGGATGAACTGTTGGTGGCAGATGTGGGGAAAAAAAGAACTTTTTAAAGCCTGCATCCTAAAAACAGTCAATCGCTTTCAGCTTCAATGCATAATATTGTCCCACAATTAACATTAAACTAAAATTCAGCAGACAATCCAGTCAATTTCCTACATGATGAAGAATGGGGTAAGCAACTTGCTTTTGATTCTGGTGACAAAATGTTTCTGGTTTTGGTAAAGCCTGACAGTGAGAATAAAATGGGAATGGGAAGAATAAAAATTGAGATGTTAAAATATCCCAGAAAATGGACATATTCTCATTTAAGATACATTAAAAGCATAAATAAAGTTATATCTTGCTTTGAATTTGTCCCTACTTTCAGAGCAGATGCCACCCATTTGTTCTAATATCTAGAGCAAATTGTAACCTTAATAAACAGTTTAAAATGAAAAGCCACACACTTGCCATCAAAGGGAAATTTCCTATGTGCCAAAATAGAATCTTATTCGATAGAGAAGGATTAATCAGATTCATGACATTGATTTAAATGAATGAAAAAAAAATCAAATAAGGTGAAGTATCAGCTTCAGCTCAGATATGGACAGTGTTTAATTTCTCACCATAGTTTTAGCAGGAATCTGGATGTTTAGGATTTTGAGAACAGTAATTATTTTGCTTTGTTTTTGTTTTTCCTGTTGGCTGAGCAGAGAAGAATAAACATGAGCACTAATTAATGCTATCCAGGATATTTTATCTTCACATACTATCAGAGCAAATATTATTCTCTGGGATTGAAAGTAAAGAATGATCACATATATAGAAGTCAATATGCCTTGGTTTGGCCAACTGGAACATGCTACTGTCTTCCTGTGATTTGTTATTTTCATATTTAGGTCCAGCTTTTTAAAACAGTAAAGAATCAGACATAGATACAACTACAAATTTTATAAAGAGTTCACAGAAAGCAATTGTCAGTTCCGTTGATACCAATCCAATAGCACAACTGAGAGCATCAGTTCTAGAGTCTTCTGAATGGACAAAAAGAGAGGAAGTTTTATGTGGCCACTTCAAATACAACCCGTGAACAATATGACACCATTAACATGGTCACAAGGTGTGACTTTTTTCTTTCTAATGCATAAGGACAAGTCTGCATTTGGCAATGTCTCAGGCAGCAATACTCAACAAAGAAATACAGTATACCTGCAAAAGCAGCAGAAAAACATGTTTTTAAAAAATTGCTAGCGCTGGAAGAATTTGAAAAGGAACATTCAAAAGAGTATTGCTTTGAAAAGGCTTTGTTTTATTTATTTATTTATTTATATATATATATGGTATTCGGCTTTGTTTGGGTATTTTCCCATGTCATTATAGTTGTGCTTTTAAAGTTATAGCAACATTTCGGCAGAATCTCATCTGCCATCATCAGGCTTCTGTACTGTGTTCATCTGTGAGTCAGACTTTTACAGTTGTTTCAGTTTTAAATTTGGGGCTAGCCTACTGCTGTGCCAGAATGGTTTTTTCTTCATCCTGATTGGTTGGGAGTCTTGGTCTGTGTTTATTGGTCTTGGAGTTTGCTGTGTTCTGCTTGATTGGTGTTTCTAATATCTTCTAATAAATTCCCCAATCAAGCAGAACACAGCAAAAAAAAGAAAGAATCATACCCAGAGAAAAATCATCCAGATGCCCCAAGCTTTATGGTCTCCCCAAGATACACAAAGAAGGAACCCCACTCAGACCAATAGTCAGCTCCATAGGCTCACCTCTACAAAACCTGGCCAAATTTCTCGCCAAACAACTACAACCCTATGCAGAATCCATCAACTCACATGTAAGAAACTCATTCCAGTTCATCGAAATCATAAAGAAACAAAACTTACAACCCAGCGACCTACTAGTAAGCTTCGATGTCATATCCCTCTTCACCCAAATACCAATAAAAGAAGCCTTGACAGCCATCCAAAACAAATACAACCCCCCCAAGCACATCCTAGATCTGACCAACCACTGCCTATCCAATACATACTTCACCTACAATGGACAAAAATACAAACAAATAGAAGGAGCACCCATGGGATCACCCCTCTCACCTGTCATCGCAAACCTCTACATGGAACACTTTGAAACACAAGCTCTAGAAAAATACGACCACAAACCCAAACTCTGGCTCAGATACGTAGATGACACCTTCATAATCTGGCCACATGGGAAAGAAAAACTAAACAAGTTCCTCACACACCTCAACAGCCTACACCCCAAGATACAATTCACCATGGAAACAGAAACCAACAATCAACTTCCCTTCCTAGATGTCTTGGTATACAAAAGATCCAATGGCTCCCTAGGACACACCATCTACCAAAAGAAAACACATACAAACCGCTATCTACATGCACTCTCACACCACCACCCAGCACAGATCAATTCCGTAGCCAAAACACTCATCTCCAGAACAAAATGCTTAGCCGATGAACAACACCAAAAAGCCGAACTACACACCCTCACCAACGTACTTACAGCCAATGGATTCCAAAGACACAAGATTACCCACCTAATCCAAAAAGAAACCCCAACCAAAATCCAAGACAGAGAACAAGAAAACGGCAAAGCCCTCCTCCCATATATAAAAGGCACTACAGACAGAATCAGCAAGATCCTCCAAAAACACAATATTAAAACAGCATTCTGCACAAACAGAAAAATATCCACCATCCTAAGAAACCCCAAAGACAGAGTCGAATTAGAAAACCAAGGAGTATACGAAATCCCCTGCACTGCCTGCCCTGCCACATACATTGGACAGACTAACAGAAGAATTAGTGCACGCATTGAAGAACATAAGAACTCAATCAAAAAAGAAGAAACGACCTCTTCCCTGGTCCAACACCTCAAAGCCACAGGACATAAAATTAACTTTAAAAATACCAGAACTATTGCCAAAACCGAACACTTCAACAGCAGAATAATCAGAGAAGCCATAGAAATAGAAAAACGCCCACACAGCATGAACAAACGAGATGACACCTCCCGCCTCCCAGCCATTTGGAAACCCGCCCTCATGAACAGACGAATACCTGCAACCTCACCACTGCCCACTCCAAACCCCTCCGAGCCATACATGAAGCAAGCCGACACCAACTATGGAGATGCAGCGCGCCCTCGAACTCGAAGCCGGGCAGCAAGAAATCCAGCCAATCAGAACACGGCCAACCCCCCAACCAATCAAAACACAGCCAGGCCCCCCACCAATGAGAAGACACCCCCACCCAATCAGAACACAGCCAAGCCCCCACCCATTCAAATCCCACCCCCACTGACAGTTAGAAAGAAAAAAGCAGCTGCAACCTCACATCACTCTGAAAAGCAAGAGCCAAAGACAGAGGCCTGATGATGATGAATGAGACTTCATCGAAACGTTGCCTAGATACTTTGAATCTTACGCGGGAGAAAACCCGAACAACCAAAGATCCACATACAAATACCCGCGAGAACCTCAGAAAACAAATATATATATATATATATATATATTTATTTATTTCTGAAGTAGGGACAATAGCAATAGCACTTAGACTTATATACTGCTTCATAGTGCTTTATAGCCCTCTCTAAGCAGTTTATAGAGGTAGTATATTTCCCCCTAACAATTTGGGTCCTCATTTTACCCACCTCGGAAGGATGGAAGGCTGAGTCAGCCTTGAGCCCTGTCAGGATTGGACTGCTGGCTGAGGGAAGAGTTTGCCTGTAATACTGATTCTAACCACTGCACCCCCGCGGTTTATATATTCTCATCTGCAGGCAGCTGGCAGGCAGCAGAAGTAGCCTGCAGTACTGCACTCTAACCACTGTGCCACCATAGCTCAAAGATCATCCTATTCAGCAAAAACAGTGTGGCACCCTTCCAAAGACCAATATAAGCCAACCTTTTCCCCAAAGCCTGCTTGTTCAAATGCAGAAGGATCAGGTGCAGCAAGCTTTTGCTGATGATTCGGTCAACAGATGTCAAGATCCTATTATCATCCATAATAGCTGTTGACAAGGCTGTTTTCCTTTTTCCTGCATGAGTGATCGTGCCTGTCCTACATTACAGTTTTACACACCCGGTACATGTAGGAGAGCCTGTATCACTTTTTTTTTTTTTAACCAGATTGATTTGTATATATGAAGAAAGAGATGGATCCAACGATTAATTCTATCTAGGCTCATTTCCACCCCAGAATTTCATTTCTAGCCGGTCTGAACTCAGCATTATTCTACTGAGAATTAAGCCTCCAAATATGAATGACAGCATTGAGCGTTCTCTCTCATTTGGCGCATATTAGCAGGGAAGCCCCTTGGATTGTGCTGCCTTGTCAGCCTCTGCTCTTCTTCTAGGTTGTTATCATGAGAGACTATCACCATGAAAACGTGGTCGACATGTACAACAGTTACCTGGTGGGAGACGAGCTCTGGGTGGTGATGGAGTTTCTGGAAGGCGGTGCTTTGACAGATATAGTGACTCACACACGGTAAGTTTGTCCTGCGGCCAAGTCCCGCTTTCTGGCCATTTGATGTTTCACAGAAAAACCACTGCCAAGGGAGCATTGCCAGTGCCCTATCTGTAAGATGAGGGAGTTGAAGTAGATGAGGTCTCTTTCTCTCTCCGCTGAAAAGAATGAAACTTCCCCCAGGCAGAGCCTTAGCATGAGCCTCTCAATCCCCACTGACCTCTCGTGCAAAGGGGGATTCTCCGAAGGCAGGCCAGAAAGCGCCCCTTTCCTTCACTCTTTCGTCCTTTGCAACGACAGGAACAAAGGAGGAGGAAGAGGGAGAAGTGCAGGCTTGGGCATCTTCCATTTCGGTTATTCACACTGATGCCCTCGACGGTTTCTATAGCAACCTTGGAAGTTGTTAAACATGTTTTGTGCCAGTATCGACGGATAAAACTGTATCGTAGTGAAGGAGAGATGCATGCTGCTTTGGCAGGTTTAATTTCCAGAGTGGATGCATTCTATCCCGAATCTTTCTCAAATCCCACCTTTCCTCTGTTGAATGACAATAATAGGTTGTTAAATGCATAAAGGAAGCTCCTTTGGCATGCTTTAGAACAGTTCTTCCCAAATTTGGATAAATTACCAAAAATTGGGTTAATGTGATTTTTCTTGGGTAACGACACATAAACTCATTACCCATCATACTTAAATTGACTTCAAGATTGCCACATGCAGTTATGATTCTTGACTCTTGACAAATGTATCTTTTCTTTAATGTGCACTGAGAGCATTTGCACCAAGACAAATTCCTTGTGTGTTCAATCACACTTGGCCAATAAAAGAATTCTATTCTGTTCTACTCTACTCTACTCTACTCTACTCCACTCCACTCCACTCCATTCCACTATACTCTATTCTCTAAAATATATTTGGAAATCTGCCAGAGTTTTCCTATTAAAACAAACATTGTTAAAATTACCAATGGTGACTTGTTGAAATGACATAAAGGTCATTCCATCATATCATTTTTATTTCATTTATCTATCGAATTTGTAAACAGCTCATCTCCCTCATAGAGGGAACCTAGGCAGCACACAAATCGAATGTTAAAAACGTAAAAAAGTGACTACAGAAATTTAAAATACAGGCAAGGACAGTTCAGCCTAATGCAGGTGGTCCTTGAGTCCCGCACATTCGTTCAGTGACTGTTCAGATTTACAACTGTGCTGAAAGAAGGAACTTATAGCTGGGCCTGGAAGTTCAGTAAGACTTTCTGATAAGTAAGTTTGAATAACGAAGGAAGAACTTTGGGAAACACTGCTGTAAAGGATGAAGACATAATTTAGTTGAATATTTCCTGTACATTTCATGATGTACCTGTATCCCAGTAAATCAGTTAAAACAGTTTTCAGTGGTTAAAGTGGCCTCTTTCTTCTCCTAACAAAATACCGTCTAGCTTCCAATGACTTTATATTCTTGAAAAACAGAGGAGAAACCTGAAAGAGCAGCCAATCTAAAAGAGGATTAATAAACTATGTTTACAACTTTGCTCTACAAAAAAAAACCAACCTTGAGCCAAACCAGGAAAATAAATAAATAAATCTAATAGGGCAGCTGTCTTAAATAAAAGACAGTCCTTTGCATAGGGCCACTGTGTAGTTGAGCTTGACACCTGCCTTATATTTTCCACTTTGAAATCAACCATATTCTAAAACCATCCTAAAAGTCTCAGCCAGCTCAGAAAGTTTAAGGCCAGGACTATACATGTGTGTGTGTGTGGAAGTTTTCATTTTGTGTTTTGAATAGCAAATTGTTGTGTTCTAAAAAGGGGGCCTTCTTTCATTTGCTTTATGACTTTTATTTGTGGAACCAGGGTTATTTTTAAGATCGGTTTCAGCCCACATATTAAAAATTCCCCTTGCTTTCACTAAGGGCTATTTTCTGAAATATTAGTCACCAGGCCAATATTTTGGCAGGCGTATAATTGCAAACAGATGTTTGCAGAAAGCTCTTCCTTAAATGCTGTCATTAGGATTAGATTCATTAGATGCGCTCCTTAATTGCTGTTTGAACATTATAGGACCTTCCTAGAAGAGTGGATCAAAGCATCTGCAATTTTTACATAAAGATCATGTTACTATGGGGTGAAATGTTAATCCTATTGGGTGAGCTATTCGTGACCTGAACTGCAGTGCCACATTAACTGCATTAGCCATTTTCACCTGGGTGCCATTGGGAGTTCCTACCATGTTCCCAATTGGACATGGTCTACTCCCCATCCCATTTTTAGGGGTGCAGTGACCTCCCGACCTCAAGCTATCACTGCTGTATCTGCCAGACCAGCTTGGTCTCCATAGGTGCCCTTCAGTAACTCATCTCAAAAACTTTGCATTTGCAGATGGGAGGAGGAAAACCATGCAAGTTCTCAGGAGCCCATCTAGAGAATTTACTACAGAAGAGGTCAAGTGGATTTAGAAGGCACCGTTTAGTTTCTTTTATGATAGATAGTAATATCGGGGAAAGCTTAATGCTGCTCTACTAGACAAATAGGCTTTTTGAAATCAGCAGTGACATACTTTCTAATTTGTAAGGTATCCCTCAGGAAAAAAAAAAGGCTGAGTGTTTTTCATTGCTTATTTTGAAACATTGGTAATATTTTCTTTAGTGTTAACTTTTGTAGTGACTTTTTGGGGGAAACTGTATCTCAGCAGTAAACATACAATGACATTTCTCTTCCTATATCACCCGCTGAATTCCAGAATGAATGAAGAACAGATTGCTACTGTTTGTTTGTCTGTCCTAAGAGCGCTGTCCTACCTTCACAATCAAGGAGTAATTCACAGGGATATAAAGAGTGACTCTATACTTCTCACTAGTGATGGGCGAGTAAGTATTTGTCATTTTTTTCTGGCCTTGATTTTTTTTTGTTTTATTTTTAATTGGGACCACTGTCAAAGTTCAGATGACTTCGGTAACATGTGAACTACCTGTCCATGAAATTTACCCTGCTTGCCTGCAGCTTTCATCATTTACCCAGAGACATGGGGAAATTTGTTCAGCCTGAATTTATATATGAACTGCCCTGGTTCATATCAGTCTGTGAGTCAAAATCCTGACAATTCAGACCGTTGCATTGGGATTTCCACTAAAAGAAACAAACAAATGTGCTTATCGCAGACAAATAAATCATGTTAGAAACATCGAACATGTAAAAACCAAGAAAAATCAAGACAAAGATACATAAATTAGGAGACTTGCTTTATTATTATTTTGTGTAGTGGAGAGATTTGCTGAAAAGCATGCATGCAGATTTTCATAACGGTTTCATTATTTTTGCAAGATTTGCCAAGTGTTGCAGTAATGCACCAACGCAAATGCCCTACCAAATAAAATAAATAAAATATAATAAAAACTGAGTAAAATCAAAATGGACAGATTCATCTATTCTGATTTGCAAATTGCACATATTCAGGGAGGATATTAAACTTACATCAAAAAGAAAGGAATACCATTTTGAATGCTTTTTGGCTGGTTTCCCATGATCTTTGCTCAATAATATGCACACAATGCCTCATTATGTTCATTGTCTGCGGCGTACATTTTGTCGTGAACAGTGTTATAATCATCTGATTCTACCGCCCCCACCACTTTAAAACCATCTTTTCTATATTTCAAGAGGCAAAAGATGGGCAAAAGTTTCCTCTGCTTCTCAATAAAGGGAAATTGATCTGGCATTCAAAAATATCCATTGTTTTGCTTCCCTTTCATGGTATAAAAAGAACCTTTGTTTATTCCGTGGATGGCTGGGCTATGGTTTTATAAATAGTAACAATCATTTCTAATTTTTATTTGATTGATGTTGAATTAAGAAGCAGCAAAAAAGGCATGAAAAGTAATGCCAAAATAAGATAAACAGTGCCACAAATAAAATGTGAGGCACCATTCGTACAAACATTTAGAAAGCTTCCTTATTAATTATTTTGATAGCTCCCTGTTCTGATCTCAGACTGCATCCTGACATGATAAATGAGCTGCTAATCTGATCTAATCCACTTTAGTCCCATGACTCAAGGCTCAATCATTATTCTGCTTCAGGCACAGGAAAGGGTGGGGGGGGTATCTTGATTGTTTTTGCCCTGAGTTAATACAGGGAACCTTTTCATTCGTTTCAAGTATGAACCAAGCAAACTTGTTCTATATGTATTAATTGATGGCATTTAAAGACATCATCTCTCCCCCTCAAACAAAGAATACAAGAAATTGAGGAAATCTCACACATATTTTTATACTGCTAGTTAGAGACGGTTTTTATCCTCTTGATATTATTACAATAAACTGTTTGAAAGTTGGTTGAAGCTAGTAGCAGTTCATAGTAATAAACAAGAACATTTTTATTAAGGTTGCATTCTAGTTTATGTTTGCATTTCTCAGTTTCTGTTTCATTAATCAATTTGCAGTTTTCTGAATTTTGTGAGACAGTTCTGTTAAAACTACTAACTCTAGGAGCATGCAATTTGAAACCTCTACGTTGTGCATGGAAAGGAACAGCAGGAAACATCCTGTCAAAATAATTATTTCCACAAACTAGAGAAAAAGTTCCCTTAGTAAGAAGAGTAAATAAGAGGTAGGCAAGACAATGCTTTCGTTGTGATCAGCTGAAAAACAATTAAGTTTATCATCAGGCAGAAAGTATTGAAATTGTAAAAAAATAATATAATTAAATTGGATGGGGAACTTACTGCCTAACAACTTTTATCATCTTCACCCAATTCCATTTGGCTCTTAGTGAATTGCTCTCTGAATACCTCACTGCTATTGGCCTTGAAATATTAGTCCTAAAGTAGTCTTCTGGCAAGTGCTTCCTATTCTGCTTGGTAGAGGAAGCACAGAGAGTAGAAGAAAGAATATCCTTTTCATCACTGAAAATTTCTCCAGGTGATACTTTTGTTCCATTAATTACTAGTGGCCACTGCATCTAGCATTGGCCAACAATTCCAGTTGATACCAAGTTTCTGTCCTACATTGGAAAATGGGTTCCCCATCTGAATATGTTAAAACAATCCAAATTAGGGATCTGTTCAACAAATGGGAATAATATTCACTATCCACTTGTTTAATTCTGCACTGCATGATGTGTTATTTATCATTCAGATAAAGCTGTCAGACTTCGGATTCTGTGCCCAAGTTTCAAAAGATGTTCCAAAAAGAAAGTCACTTGTCGGAACCCCATACTGGATGGCCCCTGAAGTGATTTCAAGATTGCCTTATGGAACTGAAGTAAGCAAAATGATGCTCTTGCTCCATTCAGCAACATAGGTTATCTTTGGAAAACAATAATCTCCTTTTACATATTTATTTGTTCAAAGCAATTCAGCTTGAACATATTTCTTCCAGTCTGGATCCAGACAGGGATATATTACTGAGTTGGATTTGATTACACAATGGCCTTTGGCGGGCTCAGGATGGAGGTAATGGTACTGGCACTTAAGACTTATATACCACTTTACAGTGCTTCACAGCCCTCTCTAAGTGGTTTACAGAGTCAACATATTGCCCCCAACAACAATCTGGGTCGTCGTTTTACCCACTTCAGAAGGATGGAAGGCTGAGTCAACCTTGAGCCTGGTGAGATTGGAACTGCCAAATTGCAGGCAGCTGCCAGTCAGCAGAAGTAGCCTGCAGTACTCCACTCTAACCGCTCTGCCACCATTGCTCATATCATGCATTCATCCTGGCCCCTTTTTGACCTGTTGGTGCACTATCATCAACCAGGGTATCTTTCTGGATTGGTTCAGGGAGTTATGAGCAGGAGGCATGGTGTTATAGAACTTCCCTTCCTCCTCCCAGGCTTGGGTTGGATGAGATGGGTCTAGAAATGGAAATGGACCATCTGGACTTAATCCAGGATGCAGTGCAGGGATAGTTATTTCATATGTAACTTTATGACTCTTACAATTCCGCAAGAAAGACAATGAAAACCTGATTCTTTCCTTGGTGACTTGAATCAGGATGATTGGAGTTCTTGTCCAGAGAAGCACAACAAATTTGTGCTCCCTGATTGGCAATTAATGATAGTTTCTTGGTTTTTTTTGCTACTAATTGCTAACATTATGTTTGGTTTATTGTACATCATCCAGAGTTTGAACAGCCATATAAATGCTATAAATAAATGAAAAACAAATAAGAAATAGTCTCTTTGAGCAGTTCCCATAAAATTGATAAAAATAAGATTGTCCCTCTCTTCAAATATTATGTTTAATTTGGTTACTGAATTAATCATTTTCTGGCTTCATATAATACATCAATCCATAAGGAAACAAGTGGGGCTGAATTGCGTACTCACATTAATGCACACAAACAGTGAACGAAGTTAAGGCTCACCAGGTTTATTAAGCATTATATTTGAGTACATTTGCTAGGTCTTTATGTGACCAGGGTTTGCATGTTACATGAGCATAGTCACTGAACAACATCACACAAAAGAAAAAAAAAAGGGCAGCTTAAGAGAAACAGTGAATCAAGCAAATAGCCCTCAAAATTGCATAATAATTTTTAAAATGAAAACTTTTGAAGAAAGAAAAAGTTGATTATCCTGGTTTGCTAAGATAAGAAGTGCTTCTCTGTTGCAACCTGATATAACGGTTGTTTTCAGGTGATTGTTGAAGAAGTGCAGGATCTGGTCCAGAACATTAGTTATAAGAAGAGCTGTAGTGAGCCCTTTTCCATCTCTTTCTGTGTTGCACTTTTGGGCCCATTCTGAGTTCTCAAAACAGATGAGGTAATTAGACATTGAGCGTAACAGGACACATTTCAATCTTGCCGCAAAGGAAGTATTTTGTGAACTTATGATCTGTGCTATCACTGCAGTGTCCCACAACTGCTATCACTGTTGTATGACAATCATTGCAAAAAAAAAAAAAAAGACTCAAAAATATTGTCAAAAAGACCATCGTTGCAAAAAAGACTCATACTATTTTCCATTGCATTTTACTCCATATTCCCTGGGAATAGACCCTGCATGGAAAAAAAAATACACTGCTCAAAAAAATAAAGGGAACACTTAAACAACACAGTGTAACTCCAAGTCAATCACACTTCTGTGAAATCAAACTGTCCACTTAGGTAGCAACACTGATTGACAATCAATTTCACATGCTGTTGTGCAAATGGAATAGACAACAGGTGGAAAGCATAGGCAGTTAGCAAGACTTCCCCAATAAAGGAGTGGTTCTGCAGGTGGTGACCACAGACCACTTCTCAGTTCCTATGCTTTCTGGCTGATGGTTTGGTCACTTTTGAATGCTGGCGGTGGTTTCACTTTAGTGGTAGCATGAGACGGAGTCTACAACCCACACAAGTGGCTCAGGTAGTGCAGCTTATCCAGGATGGCACATCAGTGTGAGCTGTGGCAAGAAGGTTTGCTATGTCTGTCAGCGTAGTGTCCAGAGCATGGAGGCACTACCAGGAGACAGGCCAGTACATCAGGAGACGTGGAGGAGGCTGTAGCAGGGCAACAACCCAGCATCAGGACCGCTACCTCTGCCTTTGTGCAAGGAGGGACAGGAGGAGCACTGCCAGAGTCCTGCAAAATGACCTCCAGCGGGCCACAAATGTGCATGTGGCTGCTCAAATGGTCAGAAACAGACTCCATGAGGGTGGTATGAGGGCCCGATGTCCACAGGTGGGGGTTGTGCTTACAGCCCAACACTGTGCAGGACATTTGGCATTTGCCAGAGAACACCAAGATTGGCAAATTCACCACTGGCCCCCTGTGCTCTTCACAGATGAAAGCAGGTTCAACTGAGCACATGTGACAGATGTTACAGGGTCTGGAGACACTGTGAAGAACATTCTGCTGCCTGCAACTTCCTCCAGCATGACCGGTTTGGCAGTGGGTCAGTAACGGTGTGGGGTGGCATTTCTTTAGGGGACCGCTCAGCCCTCCATGTGCTTGCCAGAGGTAGCCTGACTGCCATTAGGTACCCAGATAAGATCCTCAGACCCCTTGTGAGACCATATGCTAGTGCGGTTGGCCCTGGGTTCCTCCTAATGCAAGACAATGCTAGACCTCATGTGGCTGGAGTGTGTCAGCAGTTCCTGCAAGATGAAGGCATTGATGCTATGGACTGGCCCACCTGTTCCCCAGACCTGAATCCAGTTGAGCACATCTGGGACATCATGTCTCGCTCCATCCACCAACGCCACGTTGCACTACAGACTGTCCAGGAGTTGGGGGATGCTTCAGTCCAGGTGTGGGAGGAGATCCCTCAAGAGACCATCCGCCACCTCATCGGGAGCATGCCCAGGCCTTGTAGGGAGGTCATACAGGCACGTGGAGGCCACACACACTACTGAGCCTCATTTTGACTTGTTTTAAGGACATCACATCAAAGTTGGATCAGCCTGTCGTGGTTTTTTTCCACTTTAATTTTGAGTGTAACTCCAAATCCAGACCTCCATGGGTTGCTAAATTTGATTTCCATTGATAATTTTTGTGTGATTTTGTTGTCAGCACATTGAACTATGTAATGAACAAAATATTTAATAAGAATATGTCATTCATTCAGATCTAGGATGTCTTATTTTTGTGTTCCCTTTATTTTTTTTTGAGCAGTGTAGAAATTGCAAGTGCCTGTGTTTAACTTTAGCTTTACTAGTTTCTGAGTGGTATTTTACATGCAACTAATTCTAGATCGGACCCATTGTCAGTAAGAGCAGCTTACAGAAAGTAATTAACCATACTCTCTGTGGTTCATTGAGAGTTGTCCATCATTGCTGTTCCATTAAATTATTTGCAATGGTAGTTTAGTTTGCTGGGGAGGGGTGAGCTCCTGAATTCCGTTGTTGATATGCTTATCTTATGAAGATTCCAGTAAAGTATTGTTAGGCAGAACATAATCAGAAAAACTTCTAAATCCATTATGGCAAGTCCGTATTATCTAGAACAGCCAGACTATCTTAACATAAGCAGTCAACGAAATATTCTAATTAGTAGGATTAGCCGACTTGGACTGCAAACCCACCTAACTTCTAGGTAGCAGCAAGGAGTTACCATTTTCTGTAGCTAGTGGTTGCCAGGACCTTTGCACCTGAAATCTGAGCTTCCTGCTAATTATGGTAATTGCAGTAGCATTTAGACTTACATACTGCTTCACAGTGCTTTGCAGCCCCCACTAAGGGTTTATAGCGTCAGCATATTGCTCCCAACAATCTGGGTCCTCATTTTACTGACCTCAGAAGGATGGAAGGCTGAGTCAACCTTGAGCCAGTGAGCCTCTGGCAGTCAGCAGCCAGCAGAATTAGCTTGCAATACTGCATTCTAACCACTGCGCCATCACAGCTCCTATGCTCCATCTAGAACGATGTTGGCCTTTGTTACCATAGAAATACTTTCCAATACCAAGCTCATTCAAACAGGGTTTTTAAAGTAATATTTTGGTAGAAAATGTTTTTAGGTGAGAACAGCAAGGCAATGTTAGCTACTGAAGTTAAACTTATGGCCAATTTGAAATCAGATGTGTGTTGCCAGCATCTTAAGGCAGACTGCTGCAATGCCAACCACAAATGACCTCTTTAAAAAACAAAACAAATAGGGTAAAATGACAAGCTGGATTAAACATTTGTTTAAGGGTATGTTTTTAATGTAGCTTATTTGCACTGTAATCGGTTCTATGTTGCAGGTGGACATCTGGTCTCTTGGCATCATGGTGATAGAAATGATAGATGGGGAACCGCCTTATTTCAACGAGCCACCTCTCCAGGCCATGCGTAGAATCCGAGACAATGTACCACCAAGAGTGAAGGACCTACACAAGGTGGGGATGCTCACCTTTCTTGTGCTTATCATTCTTCCTGTGCTTATCATTCTTCTCCAGCATCTTAGCTGAAATAGGTCCTGAACCTGAGACCCTAGAACAGCACCTAACCCCAAACTCACTGTTTATATTCCCAGAAGTACCTCAACATGTAGACAACCAAGAAGACTGTTTCAAGCAAACAGGATGAGATGGTGCCAGTTTCCTTTCTCCCCATGCACAAGATTATGCGAGCCCATTTAGCTGTCTAAGTGTAGGCTTAAACTCAATTTAATATCTGCATTAATTTATATTTCAGTAGGATATTTACGTAGAATGTTCTAAGCAGAAACAGTTGGTATAAGTGCATTTCTCCTTCTATTTAGCCATCACTCTTCTTCTACATTGTCTAAAAAAAGGTGAACTATATGTAGCCTTCAATTCTGTTAGCCATGCAGAACAGAAGGGTTTTGCACCGATATACTGTAGTTATACCTTATATTCCCCGTTGTCATGTTGTTTATTGATACAGAAAACGAATAATTTTTATACATAGAACTGTGTCATCCCTGATAAAGAATGTGTGCATGAATACTTCCCCCCACAATAGCATCCTTTGAATTAATAGTAAATCCCCAAGAGGGTATAATTAAATAATAAAACCATACAAAAAAGAAAGTTAAAAATGTCAGAAATATCAATCACAGGCATTACATAAAACGGCAACAGCAGCAGCAACTACTACAGAAAAATACACCAATGATTAATGCAGCATAGATTCAATTCAAAACTTGGGGGAACAGATAGGTCTTCTGCTGGGACCAGCGATGTTTCTCCCCATATAAATCATTGTCATGGTGTGATTGAGAGCAAGGGAATTATGTGTTAAATCAGTGGTCGGCTGAGTAAAAGAGGCAAATAGTTATTATTCTCAGCCAAAGCTACTCCGAAACAACCAGAAACGAAGGCAGGCAGGCAGGCAGAACAGAGCACTGGATTGAACTGCGGGCGGCAGGGTGGGGGTGAACGGGTGCTTCGGAGGAGCTGCGCCGACAGGAAAAGCCACCCTGCCGGCTTCTTTGAAGCAGTTTCTTCCTGGGCTGGTGGAGGAGCGAGAGAGCGACTGAGAGAGGAACGAGGCGGGAGGAAACCGAAGCCGCTGAGCCGGAGAGCAGGACAGGCTTTGGTTGCTTCCTCCCTCCCCTTCTTTCATTTGTGTCCTTGATCCCTGATCCCAGCAGCATTCACCGAAGGCGAAGAAAGCCGCCATTTTTATTTTATTTTTATTTTCTTTGCGGCCCGGTACCAAATGATCCATGGATTGGTACCGGTCTGCGGCCCGGTGGTTGGGGACCCCTGTGTTAAATGAAAGACCTTTGAAAGCTGCGTTTGGTCTGCGAGCCCCCCATCTTCTGAGGTGTGTGGTTTAGATGTTAGCGGCCTCACAGTGTCGTTTGGTCTTTCCTAGGTTTCATCAGTTCTCCGTGGATTTTTAGACTTGATGCTGGTGAGGGAACCTTCACAGAGAGGATCAGCACAAGAACTCCTGAGGCACCCATTTCTGAAACTGGCTGGGCCTCCATCTTGCATTGTGCCTCTCATGAGGCAGTATCGGCACCACTAAATCCGGCTGCTTTTGTTCATTCGTTTATCTGTTTTCCAGGAAACTAGTGAAGCAATTGAGGTTGGGTGCTGCCAAATCAGCAGCAAGTGGTAGCGATCCGGTAAGAAATATGCCACTGTTGACATGGCTCAGCACACCGTGAAGGAGTCACAGAGAAGATGTAACTTGACTAATTCCTGACACGTCGACTGTTAGTACTCCTGGGTGAAATGCACCATGGTTGGGATTTTTGGGGTCTGAGTCAGAACAGGAGGATATGATTTTAAACCATCCCGTTTGAGGTGAGGCAGCGGGGAACTTTCAGCATTACCCCAATGGAAGGCCAAACTTTTATTGCAGGTCAAAGGAGAACAACACTTCTGCTTCAAAAGAGACACTTTTTATCTGAATTTAAAAACAAAAATGAAAAAACAACCCAAGAAGCACTTTTTATCTCGGTTATAGCAGTGTGATGTATTTTGAAATGAATTTGTAATTTTCTGTACATTGCTTTTGATAATTTATGTACTTTGGTGTCATAGTTGCTAGTGGAGGTGATCGGTATTACTTAGCAAGTATTAGAGCGAGAGCTTTCTGACTTTTTTTAATCTCTTTTGAAGAGATACAAACATACATGCACACGCACACACGTGCAGCTTGGAATGTTGATTAGATTTGCTTATCTGTGCCAGGCAAACATGGCTTCATTTTGCAAATGTTCAAATTGCTGGCCAATGCTGTATTCCCCCCAGAAAGAATTTCAAGGTTCCAGTGTTGTTTTGAAGCAATAAGCACCTGGAAAAATCTATTCATGCTTATGGAAAAGGTTGTGTCACAATTCTGCATTCAGCGGATGAAAGTATCACATCTTTTGTGGTGGTAAGCATGTGATCAGTTAAGAGCAACAGAGGAGAAATCTGCTGATCAAGAAGAAATTTAGCTGGCTACCAATCACTGACATTCCCGGCTATGTACATTAAAATTACAACAAGTCAGTGAAAGATCTAGCAGTCATATTCACACTTGTTAAGCTTGCTGGTATTAAATCTTTGTGAATTAGTTAGTTATGTGACACCAACCCACTTGATTAGATTATGAGTCCATAGGCTTAAAAAAGGGGGTTAGTTAATGAACCAGGTTACGTGTGTTGTGTTAGTGCAACCTATACGGAGTGACGTGTCCCATAGAGACCTATCTGATCTGGATCCAAAGTTATGGGACTTGTATTCCAGCAATGGATCCAGCCAGAGCTAACATTGGATGGTGCCAGATTGAAAATGAGACCAGTTTGGAAAGCAGACCAGTGTGTATGGTGCTAGATTGGGTAGCTTACTCCATATTGACTTGAGCTGAGGGGTTATGCTTCCATCTGAATTCCAGCAGCCCTTCCTTGTCCTGTGTTTATAAGTTGCCACCATGATTCATCATGTATCTGGGTGCCCATCCTGGATCTGGGCCACAGCACTAACATCTTCCCTGCTGTCCGCAAACAGTGGCTTCATGACCAGTACTTCCTTGTACCATCACACCACCCAAATGAAGTGCCTGGAACCACTGGTCTTTCTTTCCCTCTCCATACATTCTCTTTTTTCCCTTGTCCTTGTGGACTAACACCATGTCCTGTGACTTAAGGTCATCAAAGCAAATGCAGCTGCCATTGCACACTACTGAAAAGCCAGTATCTTCATCCATCTTTGGATAGGGTTGGAATCTTTCTTAAACTGGGACATTCCAAGGAGCTGCTGCCTGTCATCGTAGCCACTCTTTAAGCTAGGCAGACCAAGGGTCTGACCCACATTCACATATCCTCGGAGGCTTTGCACACTCCCTAGTTTAGGCTACTGAATGAAGGAAGTTGTATAGCACAGAGCAGACTTTCATCACGTTGCATCACCCGCACTGCCCAATGTTGTGAACTTCCCACAAGTTGTAACCACATAAGCTGGAATTGAGCAGCAACCATAGTTCAGCAGACACTTGGGGGTGTTGCACACACAACAATGCTGGTTTTGAGTCTCCTTTTCTAGCTTCACATGTGACAGACACCCACTCAAGGCACCTGCGGGCAAGAGAATTTCTGCTTAGTCTTAGCAACATGGATATTGCTTCGTTTGACTCCGTGCCAAGTCCAATGCCTCCCGTTTGTCTTCATTATTTTTATTTAGGCTTTAGAAGTCAACCACTAAGTGGGTGTTTTCTGAGTTTAAATCAAAAGTGTTGTAAAATTTGGTTAATGTGTTTTGCCATACAGGAGAAAAAGCTGTCTAAACCCCTTTGAAATGTTAATTCAGCAATGGCAACTACAATTAATCTTAGGTTGCTTGTTTGGTAGATTTGCATGTTTACCATAGGCCTGGAGAGATTTGCCTTTATTAAGTGCTCCATAATTATTTCAGTCAGTGGGAGGGGGTTATTTATTTATTCATTATGTATAACTTGAAAGCCATGTCTTTTCTAACTTGGATTTTGCTTTTCGTTTTGGGTTATTTTCACCTGATTTCACTTGAAGAAAACTGATCCTAAAACTAATGTCTCTGGATAGAGCATTTTGCATTGTGGTGGGCTTTAATTTTATCAGTAAGTTGGTTGATACCTATTATAATAAAAGAGAAGCCAACCCAAAAGTTAGAAAGTTGCTGATTTGTGAATGAGTTGTTAATGAAGAAGATATGTATTTTTTTCCCATTCTATATATCACTTTTTTTGAAAATTCAGGTTGGAACCCCACATTACATTGTACACATTGATACGCCACCTTTCTTTGAACGTGCATTCGGTCCCAAGCTCTTTCATTAAGAGGTGCATAGAATTAAGGCATTAGTACATGTTGATTTGGGGGGCATTTTGTTTCCCACAGCCACCTTTTGATGGGAGGAGGCAAAGAAAGGAGGTTTGTCATCATGCAAAAAGAATGGTATTGCATGGTACAGTAGAGAGGATTGGGGTTTTCCTCTGCGGGTGGAGTGGAGTCTGTTTTAAGAGGGAAGCCATTTTAAGGTTTATACAAATTATCATTTCATTCCCATTAAAAATGGTGCGACTACATGGTGGCGCAGTATTGCAGGCTAATTCTGCCGACTGCCAGTAGTTCAATCCTGACTGGCTCAAAGTCGACTCAGCCTTCCATCCTTCTGATATGGGTAAAGCGAGGACCCAGACTGTTGGGGGCAATATGCGGACTCTGTAAATCTCTTAGTGAGAGCTGTAAAGCAATATGAGGTAATATATATATATATATATATATATATATATATATATGTCTAAGTGCTATTGCTAATTATATTTATTTACACACACATACAATGTACAGGTTACCCAACTTTCTACTAATTTTGTTGTACTAGGATTTCATGAACAATAGGTGCTACATAAGGTCCTGCAATTTTGTGTTGCCCATCTTTAGGTAATTTTCAAAAAGCTATTCTGAAGAATATGGTTTATAATCAGGGTTGATAACCCCATAGATGATGCTGGGATTGGCTACCGGTAGAAGCAATCGTGAAGGGGCAGCGGTTACAGTTATATGCATCATGCCACCTATTGTTAAACCTTCTTCGGAGAGCTTAGTGTCCCAAATGTGGCAGGTGATGATGACTCATTGGCAGTGTTGAAATAAGATTTGGGTATATTGCTTTGCTGTAAATTCATAATAAATTGCATCTTACTAATTATTCAGATTGTTTACATAGAAAGCTTGCACGCTGTGATAAGTCAAGATTTCTGACCATGGCTTGTTGAATAAGCCATACTCATTTTCCCATCTAGTATTAGGACACCACCTTTTTCAGGCTGTGAACAACATTTACTTTGAATGGTTCAATAAGGATAGCGCACCTCAAAATCAACATGCCCTTAAACCAGATACTAAGTGATTTAATGCAATGTTAAATACTGTTAATTGTTTCTCAATTATTTGGTATAGTTTTCTTTTCATGTATTTGCTGGAAATATAGAAGGGCTCTGGACTTCTGTTGCCCAAGTTGAGAAGGGCACGTGGTATTTGAGCCATGGATTATGCATCCACATGCCCAGATATCAGAACTGGGATGCAAATGTTAATTTAAAATGACCACAAGATGGCAGCAAAGGCCTAAAGAAAACACTGATATCTAGTGGTCATTCAAAGCTTTACAGAATTTATCTGCTGAATATAACTCCACATTGGTAACAGGAAGGGCATCCGACCAGTAATCACTCAGCTCCATTCAGTTGCTCAGACTCCACCCGGCAAGGGATTATGGGCTCGTTAAAAGAAGAAAGAAAAGATTCAAAGCTTTACAGGCCAGATACAATGGTGGACAAACTATAGTGGCAGTCACTCATAATACTAAACCAACCCAGCATTAAGGATTGATGCCTTAAATCGGGGATCAAGGTCAGCCATACTACTGCGTGGTAACTGCATTCCAAGATTTCAGAGTTATTTTTCCTAGGGCAGGTGATGTTGGGCCTTTTAATGCTGCTCGGAACGACTTTGAGAAGAAAAAAAAAATACTCTGGCTACCTGACGCCAGAAAGAAAAAAAACAAACTTTTATCATGGCAGGAGAAAAATGTATGAAAGAGCTTTGACAATTACACTATAAATCCTGCCAGGATAATCCATATATAGAAATCCATACTCCTAAGTAACCATGGACCCACATCGTTTGTCTTTCAGAGCGAAAGTCTATACGAAAGAGTCTCTGACTTCTGCAAGGCCTTGAAAACCTCTCTTTGATCAAAGTCCATGGAAAGGACTCCTTCTAACCTGCTTCGTGAAGCAGGGTCCCAGGGTCTTTCTCTCTGTGTGTGTGAGTGTGTGTCTAATGATGATGATGACGACTCTGTTGTATTGTTTTATAAAAAATCGTTTCCATGAAACCCTGTTTTAAATCATTTCTGTATATTGTCTTTGAAGAGAAGGATCCGTGTAAGCATTTGATTTCATCTGTGTACTGCTGCAATAATGCAAGGTTTATTTATTTTCTGATTTATAGGAAACTAGGAGCAATTCTGAAGAGTGTACCATTATACCCGACCCCTCAACAGATAAGGCAGCCATCAGATCTGGATTTCTAATAACTCTGATCCCCTTATTTAATCCAGTCCAACAAACTGCATTGCTACCTTCCCTAAATTATAATGCGGAAATGAGCACTATGATAAGAA